ATTGTATGTACAGATATACATACGAACTTATATAGGTATATATGTATAAAATGTTAATATGAACATTATGATAATATGAATAATAAGAATATTTCATATTCACAATACAAGGAAAAATTAAATTCAATTCAATTCAATAATTAATTTGAATAAACTTTTATGGTACAGAACTAGAATGTGAAAAATTCTTGCAATTATTCAAATGAGAGATGGAAAATAACATAAACTTTCATTGATTTATTTAGATTGACTGTGCAACGTCGCTAGTCACATCTTCTAAATGTGCTGCTTCAATATGACCTGTTTTTGCTAATATAAAATGGTTTAATTAAAATAAATATTGCCATATTTCATGGCGTAGGGGCGGCTGCGGCCGCTGCCACGGCCACGGCCACGACCGCGGCCGCGGCCGCGGCTGTTCCACCCTTCGTTGCGCCCGCGCCCAGCACGATGCCATCTTGCTGTAAAAAAAAGAACATAAGTATTATACGATTGTACGAAACAAAACACGGTAGTCTCGCGTCAAGTATAAAAAAGCGTGGCTAGAACCGCGCACGCGAAATCGACCGTGTAGTTTATGCAACAAATTTTAGACTTACGCTTAGACTTCACCGTCGTTGTCCTTGATGATGAAGACGCTGGCGGTGGTGACGGCGGCGGAGGCAACGATGACGGCGGCGGAGAGAGCGATGACGGCGGCGGTGGCGGTGGCGGAGGCAAAGCCAAAGGCAAGGGTAACGGCAAGGGTAATGGCAACGGAGGTATTGTAGAGACTTGGGCCGGCGCCGCGAAGTCCACTTGCTTCTCCGACACCGCCGCCCTGGCCATTGCCTCGGCCAATATTTTGTCTTCAGTCCTGTAAAAATATTATTTAGTTATTACGTTAGTTTAATCACGAGACACGGTAGTACTTACGTCTTGTTATCCATCATCGCGAACGGTGACTGTAGAACTGTAGTCGATGTCGACCATAGACATATATATATAGATGGTTGTCCGCATCTTCTAAAGGACAGAACGATATAGAGGTAGGTGCTGTCTCCGTCACTCCGCCGGTCTGGAGGGGGAACTTGGAGGGGAACTAAAGCCAACGGCACACGATACTATTTTTCCTACTGGTTGCTTACGAAAGCCAATCAGGACGCAGAGTTTTCGATCAGGTGACTCAAAGCTGAATCCTGGTTGGTTCTCGTAAGCAATCCAGTAGGAAAAATAGTATCGTGTGCCGT